GAACTAAGAGAGACTTTGCGAGAGACCGCTTTGCGCCCCCATGGCACAATTACGATTCGTCCGAGATTCTCGAGACGGCGTTCGTGTGAATGCATTTACAAGTGTTGCAGATAATCTTCGCGGTAGCCTACTTCCTGAAATAGCTAGAGTTTTCCCCACGACCTCTATCCCGCAAGTGCGATAAATTTGGTTATCGGGTCGAGAAATCGAGCGGATTTCAAAAATAATATCTTCGCTTTCTGTAGCCTTTCCAAAGATAGTTCCTGTCCAAATTCGCTTCAGGAGAAAAAATAATCGATGTGTGTTGAATTAAAAAGATAAACTCATGAAAAAAACAGAATAAATGTATATATTTGCATATATTAATATTTGTATGCCAACTGCATCTCGCGAAGTTAATATTTTCTGAATAAATATATTTTCCGGGCAACTCTTTTCTAAACTACCTACTACTTTCTATCCATGAATCGGTAGATTTATTTATATTTTGTGCAGGAATATGTATTTCTCGAAAAAAACAGCATATTTTTCAAAATTATTATTTTATAAATAGTTAAATGTGATGGATATTACCAGTTTTAATAGCAATGTATTATCAGCTTTAAAAATCATTTGATTGTGGACTCTCTCATTAAAATGAGGAAGTCCACAATCTTACAATAAACATATATCCCCAATTTTTAATAATAAAGATAGTTTTACATAGGCTTAAATTTAGAAATATTTAATTAACTTTTATAAAAAAAAAAAAAAATTATATTTCATTAAAGAGAAATAAAGAGCGAGTTAGAAAAAGAGAGAGAAAGAAAAATAGAGATACAAAAAAAGCTTTGAAAAAATATTACGTTGTTTATATAATATCGTTTAATTTCAATTTTATCTCACTTTAATTAAATTCTATTGTAATAACCTTTATAATTAACGTATTTATACTGCATTTACGTGTGGATTTCGTTTACCTTTCTATTTTAATAAAATTAATAAATTAACATACACATTCACCCATGCAAAAATTAGAGACAATAAATTTAACTTAATTTTCCATTGATATATGTAATATACAATAAAATGTAACGAGCAAAACAGAGTTTAATCAATTCAACCGTCAATATTTCAACTTTAAACATGAAATTTGTATAGTCGCACGATATTCATAATTTATAATTATTCGATAAAGGAGCGTCTATTCGCGGTAAAGTTCATCAGTTGCAGCGCGTTACATCTGTTGACGGTGCAACAAGTCGGGTTAACAGCTGTTTCGGCTGCATATAGTTATATGCACGACGACGATAGTGCTATGGCATTTCGATTTGGCCCAAGTCCAGGCCGAGTTTACGAGACTTTAGTGAACTTGGGCGTTACGTTCGTTGAATAGAGGAGACTCTACTATCAGTTCGTATCAGAGTTAAGCTACGATGAATGAAATAATTCTCGAGTTTGAAGATGGATGCAGCGAAGAAATAATTACGGTGCGCGATAGAATATAAAAAACCCCTTCTTGATATATACTTTACAATAATTGACAAAACAATAAATATGCGTAGCATTATTTTGGAATCATCGGAGATAAAGCGCTACACGTTCTTGGATCTTTAATAAATATGCAAGGAAATATGTATAAATATATATCTCTTTCAAGATTTTTAGTTTACATGTAAAAATTCGCGTATTTGCAAACTGGCCTAAAATGTATCGGTTATTGAAAAATACGGGCATAAGCTTTCCGATCTCTCTGATTTTTTCGGGATTGTAAAGCTGCTGCAAATGTCACATTTACAAATACGAGCACGTGTCATAATGGCTTATTACGAGGTGTACGATGCGACCTACGGCTCGCGAATCAATAAAGACCGCGCTACACGGGCACATAATTATTAACTCTTTCAAAGCCGCGAGTTTTTCTTGAACGAGAAAAAAATGTCGCGTAGTTGCTTTATACGTGTGTGCAGACTATGCGCTATTTGCGGAAGGCGAGTACATAATGTGCGTATACGTAGGGTTTTGAGAGATTATCTCGACCGCTTAGCGGAAAATCTCTATGTTCAACGAACAGCCACGGGGTGGACGCTTTTTTTTGTGATTAAATCGGTTTTACGGTAGATGCGATATATAAAATCCATGTGGCTGCGGTTTGAAGCTAATATTTACAAAGAGATATCAATCTCTTCAATCTTTTGTCTATTGTATTTTTATAGAAAGTGTATTCGTCCGTGAATATAACTTAATCACTCTTTAATCCTATGTTTATAACATTCTTACATAAAATAAGAAATTCGAAATAAAAAAATATTCAAGAGAGAGAAGGTTTCTCTATTACTGCAGAAATAAATATTTTATAATTTTATTAACTTTTATAAAAAAAAAAAAAAATTATATTTCATTAAAGAGAAATAAAGAGCGAGTTAGAAAAAGAGAGAGAAAGAAAAATAGAGATACAAAAAAAGCTTTGAAAAAATATTACGTTGTTTATATAATATCGTTTAATTTCAATTTTATCTCACTTTAATTAAATTCTATTGTAATAACCTTTATAATTAACGTATTTATACTGCATTTACGTGTGGATTTCGTTTACCTTTCTATTTTAATAAAATTAATAAATTAACATACACATTCACCCATGCAAAAATTAGAGACAATAAATTTAACTTAATTTTCCATTGATATATGTAATATACAATAAAATGTAACGAGCAAAACAGAGTTTAATCAATTCAACCGTCAATATTTCAACTTTAAACATGAAATTTGTATAGTCGCACGATATTCATAATTTATAATTATTCGATAAAGGAGCGTCTATTCGCGGTAAAGTTCATCAGTTGCAGCGCGTTACATCTGTTGACGGTGCAACAAGTCGGGTTAACAGCTGTTTCGGCTGCATATAGTTATATGCACGACGACGATAGTGCTATGGCATTTCGATTTGGCCCAAGTCCAGGCCGAGTTTACGAGACTTTAGTGAACTTGGGCGTTACGTTCGTTGAATAGAGGAGACTCTACTATCAGTTCGTATCAGAGTTAAGCTACGATGAATGAAATAATTCTCGAGTTTGAAGATGGATGCAGCGAAGAAATAATTACGGTGCGCGATAGAATATAAAAAACCCCTTCTTGATATATACTTGATACAATAATTGACAAAACAATAAATATGCGTAGCATTATTTTGGAATCATCGGAGATAAAGCGCTACACGTTCTTGGATCTTTAATAAATATGCAAGGAAATATGTATAAATATATATCTCTTTCAAGATTTTTAGTTTACATGTAAAAATTCGCGTATTTGCAAACTGGCCTAAAATGTATCGGTTATTGAAAAATACGGGCATAAGCTTTCCGATCTCTCTGATTTTTTCGGGATTGTAAAGCTGCTGCAAATGTCACATTTACAAATACGAGCACGTGTCATAATGGCTTATTACGAGGTGTACGATGCGACCTACGGCTCGCGAATCAATAAAGACCGCGCTACACGGGCACATAATTATTAACTCTTTCAAAGCCGCGAGTTTTTCTTGAACGAGAAAAAAATGTCGCGTAGTTGCTTTATACGTGTGTGCAGACTATGCGCTATTTGCGGAAGGCGAGTACATAATGTGCGTATACGTAGGGTTTTGAGAGATTATCTCGACCGCTTAGCGGAAAATCTCTATGTTCAACGAACAGCCACGGGGTGGACGCTTTTTTTTGTGATTAAATCGGTTTTACGGTAGATGCGATATATAAAATCCACGTGGCTGCGGTTTGAAGCTAATATTTACAAAGAGATATCAATCTCTTCAATCTTTTGTCTATTGTATTTTTATAGAAAGTGTATTCGTCCGTGAATATAACTTAATCACTCTTTAATCCTATGTTTATAACATTCTTACATAAAATAAGAAATTCGAAATAAAAAAATATTCAAGAGAGAGAAGGTTTCTCTATTACTGCAGAAATAAATATTTTATAAGAAATTAGTGTATATTCTCTTTAAATCATGGATACATATTTTTTGTTGATAAATAATGCACTACAGTAATTTTAAACATTTATAGAAAATGTTTAATATTTTAAAATTCTAAAACATTAGAGATTTCAATAAACCAATTTGTCATGTGTCAAATGATCTGTTCAATCGGAGATAATATATTGATCTACGATAGAAAAAGTTATTTAATATGCAAAATATTGGTTATATATACACATACCTTTTTATTAACAGTATAATTTTGTGTAAACAAAAATTAGTAGCCGATAATTAATAATTAAATACTATATATCTTTGGAAAAATGTATCTCTTTGAGATTTTGTAACTTTAACAATGGGACGCCTGAGAAATTTCTTTCTTTCGAAGTAACGAGGTAAAGGACTGAAAGCACAGAAAGACTCGAATTGCTAGACGAACAGGCAGAACATTGAGCAAATAGAAGATAAAATCATGAATTGAGTATCTTCTCTTGAAGACGTTTCTCACACTGCCAATATATCACGGGGTTGATATATGACACTCAAGCGAACGTTAAAGCGGCATGTTTTAAGAGCTTTATGACTGATATTCAATCACAGTCGCTAATTATCAAGATTAATTGCGACATGATGTATACAATATGTTTTTCAAACGCAAATTTAAAAAATAATATAATTTTATAATTATTATGTTACAATCTCGTTGATAAAACGATTTTTTAACTTTTTATATTTCACTTCATCTCCGAAAAGTATTTTTATACTTTTCCCATCTTAAATATTACACAAAGTTACTTCAATCTATCATATAGTGTATTAGAAAATGATTGATGAGCAATCTGTCGACAATAAAATTGAAAGTTTATTAATTACTTCCATAGTTCATATCGACTGATGAGGGTTGTAAAAATGCTTTTTTTATTGTGAAGCAAGTTTGATCTGTAGAATCAAAATGATTACAATATGAAACGGTGCAGCTGAGAAGTATAAATCTCATTATTCTCTTATTAACTCGTATAAACGCGTGCTAATTGTACATGGCTTACCTCAGGAAAGTGGACAAAGCGTTGCCGGAGGAAAAACTGAGAAACGAGGTCCGAGACATGCACCGTCCTGAACGTTAAGGACCTGTACAGGTCCTCGATTCCTTCTTTCGATCTCGTCCACGCTTTGACACTTTTCGCTGACACGTCGCGGTACACTCTCTCCCTCCTTCTCTCTCTCTCTCTCTCTCTCTATCTATCTTCCTCCCTTTTCCTAGCTGCAGCGACAAGTGGCTTTGATTCTATCTCGTTTGACTATTCGTCGTAGCAGCTCTCTTTCTCACGGCGATTCTCCCGTTACGGCACGACTTTACGATCGCGGTTTACTTGAACGAGGCCCGGATGTGCCTGCCGATATGTCGCGGGCTCATTGATTTCGCGAGACGACTGGGGGCACGCGACGATGGTCGTGCACGAGGACGTGTTCGATGGGAATCTCGAGCGAGAGGCGAAGCTAAGCGACGCCGGTGCGAAGCGCTGACTGAACCACTGGCGAGGCAAACGAGGGGTGCTCCGTACCGTGTGCTCCGTGTTCCCCCTTGTTGCTCTCACCCTTGTGATCACTCTCTTTCTCTCTCTCTCTCTCGATCTATCTGTCCTCCATCCTCCCTTTCACCTCCTCTTCTATCGGAGCATCCCTCCTCCCATTTACTCTCCCTCTTGCGCGCACATTTTCTCGTTCCTCCGTGCGTCCCTCCTCCTCCTCTCCCCTCCCCCCCCCNCCCCCCCCCCCCCCCCCCCGACGCGTACAACCCTCTCTACGCTACTCCATCCTCACCGAGTTATAATAGTGTACACACGCAACACAGGAAAGCACAGGGAGGCCACTATGCGATCCTACGATCCTGCGCCCTGACTTCGCAGGGATATCCGTGTGCGCGTCCCTCTCTTTCTCTCACGGGAGAGTCATCGGTAAGATTTAGGTCCTCCTTGCATAGGGCGATGGGATTCTTAATCAATGTGATTTCGTATACCGTTTCTCTTACGTCGAAATCATGAATGCGGGATTGTGCAGTTTAGTGCTATTGTTTTTCGAAAGTATAGTAACAGAACACAGACTGTGTAATCAAGGTGTTCGAGTATTCAATTTATCCGATTGGATGAACGTTAAATAATGAAATTTTTTTAATACCGTTACTTTTATCACTAGTTTTTCACGATTTTATAATATTGATACATATATGAATCACATTCCGTACATTTTAATTCAACATTCTTTTATAAAACGGTTACATTTTTACGCACAATAAAATTTAATAAGATATTCATGTCTTATCGGCTTTGAATAAAATGCAATAAAATTATAGTTCGAAGTGAAAAATATCGCACATTCAAGTTCCTCGAGAATGACAATATGTGCGTAAACATTTTGCCACGCTTTGCGAACAATATAAATAAAGAACATCAAGGAAAATAGCCGGAATTATGTGATATAAAGTCTTCGTTTTAGTCCCATAATCCTTCATGACACGTGAAGAGTTTACCCTCTCGGCACAGACAAGTAATTTAATACTAAAATGAATACTGAGGGAACACAATAGAAAAAGGAAAATTCTTTCACGGATCTCTTACGAAAAAATTTATGAATAAAATGACCACGATACAACACAGTCTAAAATATTTATAAAAAACGTCTGACAAATATAAAAATCAAAACTTTCAAAAATTATCAAAAATTAGTTTCCGCGATATATTTAAATAAACGTAATTGCTTAATTTAACTTTTTTTATATGTTTTAAATAAAGGTATAAAAAGATTCAAATACCTCGCGCGTGTAATTCTTATACGTAGCATAAGCATCTTTTAAAAGTTTCCAAAGATCAAGAGATGCAATATCGTCTTGATGTTCAGAATATAAAAGAGGTGTATGATCGTCGTATATTTAACCGTCAACCGCTTTCCCTTTATTGCAATTTTATGAGAAAAATTTTACGATCGTGATTTTTCAGGATCTATCACACACATATGCCGTGATTATAAGTTTAATATATCTACGACATAAGAGCGACTGTAGAAATGTTTCAGAGAAAGAAAGAGTTATATAAAATTATACCATTTAAAAAAAAAATTATATATGACTGTCTTTTTATATAATATTTTTTAATATAAAAATTAATGTTTTTACAAAACTAAAAAAAAACTTTTAATTTTAAGATGACATTGGTTTCACAGAGAGAAGGGGACTCACATTAGTTGGTATAATAATTTACACATTTATTCGAATCATAATTCTACAATATAACAGCTGTGTATCTCATCATATAATGCTATGGAAATTCATATTAAATGAAAATTCATACTTTATCAAAATCCGAGACATAACGGATTGTCTTAACTCGCGGGTCGTCCGGTCTGTAAACTAAATTAAAACTCAATTAGCATCAACGCATTAGAGGTTGCTTCAAGTAACGCAGTTATCTAATTGTTATCAGCGATTCTGTTTTATCGACGTACGTTCAGGATTGCATAATCATTACACAAAGTTCGATGAAGTTCGAAAATCGAAAAAAATAAACTCCAAAAATAAATGAATATTCCATTACTTACTTCTTGGCGTTCGGAAATATTTCGGGGTCATATCGTGCGTGCTAGCGTAATGCCATGAGTAAGTAGACAAGGCTAATGCTCCTACAAAGAAGAACGAGCTTCCCATTATCACTGGGATTTCTGCCCATCCTTTGCGCCAGAAATATTTCACCTTTGTCGCTGAAAACAAACGACGGGCGAACGATTTTCATCTGTCATTTATACGAGATTCCCGACAGATATATTCGATCTTACCAAAACTACTCCCTCGTAGAATATTAAAGTCCTCGGCGGTCTTCCATCGTATGTTGATTTTCACCATCGTTACCGTTCACTGATATACCTGATTATTTAATTCGATACAAATAAATTAACGCGATTGCTAACGAATATACTGAGAACCCGCGAAACGTGACCGATTTAAGGAAGAAGATTGATGGAGCGCTTTGAGGTTAGGAGAAACGGTACAGCTGTTATTTTTGTTGCGCGCGCCACAGACGATGAAAACTGTAGTCAACGATTAAATTGTAGTCGATACTATCACAGTACGCCTTACCTCTACACGACAGTCGCATGTTTTTAAAAATTCGGATTATTTTGTTGACGAACTTTTATATAGGTTAGAATATTTAAAAAGTGTTATATATGCATACATTTCGAGTTTCCGTCAAATATAATTCGAATATACAAAGAGGTATGCTATAAATAACATATTATTTATTTATATCTAAAAAAAGAGAGAGAGAGAGAGAGAGAGAGTCAAGTGGAGTCAAGTATCATTATATATAT